TTAAAACAATTCTGCAAAGAAGAGTGGGCGCCAAAATTCCTCCAGCGATGTGAAAGACTCATTGCCAGTTATCACAAACGCTTGATTGCAGTTGTGGCTGCAAAGGGTGGCACAGCCAGTTATTAGATTTAGGGGGCAATTACTTTTTCACGTAGTGCCAGGTAGGTTTGGAAAGCTTCTTTCCCTTAATAAATGAAATCATGATTTCAAAACTGCATTTTGTATTTACTCGGGTTATCTTTGTGTAATATAAAAATTTGTTTAATGATCGGAATCATTCAAGTGTGACAAATATGCAAAAAATTTAAAAAACAGGAAGGGGGCAAAAACCTTTTCATGGCACTGTAGACAGATAGACAGACAGACAGACAGACAGATAACATAAAAATCAGTGAAAATCAGTAATTTTTTTAAATTAAAACTTAATCAGCAAAGATGCATTAAATTGATCAAAAGGGACAGAGAAGACTTCTATAATTTTATAAAATACTTCTATTTCAAATAAATGCTGTTCTTTTGAAGGATCGTGGAAAAAAGGAATCATGATTTTCACAAAAATATTATGCAGCACAACTGTTTTCAACATTGATAATAATATGATAATGTTTCTTGAGCAGCAAATCAGCAAATTAGTCATTTTAATGTTTTGTTAGTCTAGCCCACGAGACGCGCAGTTGCTGCGTTATGCATTCAAAATATTAGTGAAATAGAGAAGCTTAATGCGTAGAAGATCTTGATTAGGTGAAAACCGAAACCACACAGAACGTATATTCAGCGCATTTTTAGACAGACAAATATGACTGCTGCACTCGCGTCTCAGAGAAGAGATGTAGCCATGCAAAGTTAAAACAGTTTAAACTTTTAGAAAACACGTTGCGAATTTAAAAATGCAGTGGTTAAATAAAAAAAAAAGTTCTATTGCTCTGTTTTAAAAAAGGTTATAAAAAATGTCAATAATTATCGATACCGAATGATATGAAACATTATATCGTTGATACATTTTTTAGCTATATTGCCCAGCCCTAAACTCACCACATTTGGCCCATGGCCGAAGGGTTTGCTGGACAGGTTGGTTGTGATACTGTGGAGGATGATTTCTCCACTAGTGGAGCCAGATGCTATGTAGCTATCGCCTCCGTTAAAAGACACACATGTCACTTCCTCCTTGTGGTCCTACACAGAAAGAGACATTGATTAGGTTGCGGCTGTTTTGGGACATTTTTGTGGTTGTATTTTAGCTTCAAAGAAGAACATACTTCCAACAAACTTCCCACTGAATGTCCTTTGAAACTGTCAAATAAGCAATCTATATCCATAAAAATTATTTTTAACTGTGTGCTACCTTAAGGCTTCGGTGCAACCTTTTTGTCTTTAGGTCCCAGATATTAACCGTGTTATCCAGTCCTCCGCTGACCAGGAACTGTGATGTGGAGTTCAGACTGACACGGGTTTGCTTTTTCTACAAACAAAAGTCCATTATAAGACATACATGACCTAGATATATTTAGATAGGACAGAAGATATCAAGGTGCTCAGCTCACCCCTTCACCCAGCTCCATCACTGGAACTGGAGATGACTTGAGACTGGACACCACCAGCTTGTCTCCTATACTGCTGGCACTGACCAGGTACTGATCTGAACACTGTCAAGGCAAACCCCTACAATAATAAATCAACTAAATCCGTGTAGGTGGCCTTAACCACTACGTACTTACATTTAAATTAATCATTTGATATAATGCACTTATTGTGTACATACATGTTTTTACATTGTACTTATATTTAAAAAATACCTGCATGTAATTACATCTATAATTCATTTCTATAATTTCACTTATAGTTACACTGTTGACCCATGCCTTACACCTTAACACAGCCTTAAAGCTACCCATACAAACCTGTCCCTAACCTTACCCATATATCCCACCTCAATAGCAGCAAAATTGTTTTGCAATATAATATGAACACAATAAATACATTGTACTTATCTTGTGATGTTAGTACATAGTAGTTAAGGCCACCGAATATAAAGTGGGACAAAATTCGCTATAATTAATGTAAATAAATATGCACCATGTTTGTCCAACTCAGGGGGTTTCCATCTTTTAGATGTCACGGACCCCTAAATATAATCATCCTCATGCAAGGGAAATAATTTAAATTGGTATACTATGCAAATTGAAAATATTATTTGGAAAATATTTATTTTCTATTAAGTAACATTACGTTTTCTTTTCTATTCACTATAATACTGTACTAAGTCTTATTTATTTAGTATTTCTTTTAATCAAATTTATGTTAATTAATTTAATATAAATGTATTCTACTTGTTTCAATCTAATGATCAGTTTATTTCGATATAATTTTATTCATTTACTTTTTAAAACACAATTACATTAATACAATTTTATTATTTTAATATAATATGTAATATAATTCTTATTTATATACATTTTATTATTACTCTTTTTTTTATTTTACATTATTATTACATTTTATAATTACTTTGCTCCAGAGGAATATCTCTTCTAAAACATGATACACATACATTATAAAGTCATATGTATATCATATATATGCATACTGGCATCACTGTGAGACATGTGAAAGATGCTCAGAATCCTAATGGAAATGGTTTAGAGTGATTTGACAGAGCTAGAGGATACTGCTGCTGCTCCAGCACACTTGAGCCACTGGATGCGTGGCACTGTGAGGGTTGAACTGCTCCAGCACCGTCATGGAGGTCGAGTCCCAGATCTTCAGGCAGTCACCTGACGACACCAGCCGCGTGACGTCCTCCATAGCAACGGCTGCCAGGAGACAAAAGATGGACAGCTGTCAGGCGCGCGACCCACTGTTTTCCACTATGGACAAGAATCCTAAATGCCTGTATAGGAATAATAGTTTCAAACAATCGTATAATATTGCCCTTTAAAGCATTATTATGTCACTTTTATGATTAGCAATTAATAACACATTTTGTATAGCCATCAATTTATATTTGCATGGTATTATTTGTGGTCTGAATTATTATTTACAGTCTGAATTATGCTTTTACAACTCTTAAAATATCCTTAGTGACTTGGACTAAGTTACATGCAAGTTAGCCAACTAGCAATGCAGCTAATTGATGCAATCTTCTTTAACTTTAGAGCATAATCAAATTGTTAACTTACATAAAAGCGACTTTAACCGCTAATTCTGATCAATAACATTTGGAATAAATCCGTGACCCTCATTAAAAGACTTTTACACTCGAATTCGCACTTATTTGTTGCTGTTCGTGATGTTGTGCTAATAGTTTCTGCATTCATCAGCTGATTAGCAACAGCTAGCTACTTACCCTTGGTTTAGACTATAAAAGTGAAGAAAAAACTGAAGGATATGCTGGTAAAAAAAAAGGTCACAATACATCCACGCTGGTTGAATAAATGAGTCCTTTTATTTGAAAGTAAAACTTTGTCATATCAATAAAGTTTGAACATCCGTGGCTCCAGTAAGAAACCGCCACTACGGCGCGCCGCTGGGCTCAAAAACAGGAAACATTCGGAATTACAAGCAAGCAGCAACGCCAGTGTGGGGAGGGCAAATACAGGTCATTGCGTTTATGTGTCAAAGTTTGCATTAATAAACACGCCTGATAAGGAATATGCGTTCAAATGCGTTTGTAGTGCTGTTAAATTCAAGTAAACAAAAGGTATTTTGCAATAAGACCACAGAACACTGGCTAGAAGATGTTAATGCAGTGCACGTTCGGATTTATTTAAGGAAAGACAAAGAAAAAACAAAATCACTACAAGTAATTTAATGTTTTTGAGTGCCATTAAAAAAAGAAAAATAACTAATCAGTGTATGACCATATTGCATTAAAATGATCATACGTGACCCTGGACCTAACCAGTCATAAGGATACATTTTTTTAAAATTGAGATGTATACATAATCTGAAAGCTGAATAAATAAGCTTTCCATTGATGTATGGTTTCTAAGGATAGGACACTATGTGGCTGAGATACAACTATTTGAAAATCTGAGGGTGCAAAAAAATTTAAATATTGAGAAAATCGCCTTTAAAATTGTCCAAATGAAGTCCTTAGCAATGTATATTACTAATAAAAAATTAAGTTGATATATTTACGGTAAGAAATTTACAAAATATCTTCATGGAACATGATCTTTACTTAATATCCTAATGATTTTTGTCATAAAAGAAAAATCTATAATTTTGACCCATACAATGTATTTTTGGCTATTGCTACAAATATACCCCAGCGACTTAAGACTGGTTTTGTGCTCCAGAGTCACATATACATTCATAGTGCACATATAAAAGATACTTAAGACTTTAATATAGCAGCATATTTATTTAACATTATAAGATTCATAAAAAATAATCAGATAAGGAATACAAGGCAGGCTACATGATTTTGCATAGTGATAATATAGATAAATATACAGCAAGGGCTCAGAAGTGCTTCACATATTAACCTTTATCAAATTATCAAAGTTTCTGAATCTCCAAAAACTGGCACAGTTCATGTTGTCCAGCTGCAGGGCCTTCCCGCCGTCACTGTGGCAGAGGTACAAGGACTTTGACGTAGTTCATGGGAAATAAGCCAGCCTCCCCTCTGATCATACCCTCACACCAGTTCTCATCGATCTGGCTGGTCAGAATGATGATGTCCCCCTCCTTAAAGCCCAGCTCTCCCTGGTTTTCTGGCTGGAAACTGTAAAGTGCCTGACAGCAAGGCTGGTCCAAGGGGGGGCCGCTATCATCTAGCACACAAGAAGAAAATACATTTTATTTATACAGCTTTATTCCAAGGTTAAGGTCACTTTTAAGCAAAAAAAAAAAAAAAACTTACTGTTGCTGGTTGGCTTGTCTGTTGTTTGAGCTTTAATGGCGACTTTGTCAGGAGGGTGAACCACAACTGGTACATCTGGTAAAGAAAGATTGAAAGACATTAGTAGCAAAGCAAGCTGGGGTACTTCCAGCTACCTTATAAAATAGCTGAGAGTTTGTGCATCACATTTAAAATGACTTACATTTTTCACTCAAAGCTTCAGTAACCTCAGTATCTGTAGTACATAATACAGCATTTAAACTAGCAGAGAATTCAGAAAGTCTTTGTAAACAGTTTCTGTTTAATGTAATCAAATGACTTAATATCACACCTGATGAGCATGTGGAAAATCCATAAATATCCGTGTAGCACACTGTGCTCGCAACTGATTTAGATGCAAATTCCCTTTTGGGTTGATTGCTTGCGTCTGTTATCCTGTATAGAGTGAAAAATAAACAGGCACATTAAATGAAACCAAGGTAAGTATAGAAAATAAGTACAGCTGAAATCATGATTCTAACCTGCTCTGCAAACTACTCCTGAGATTTTCGAGAATCTGCTGTGACTGGCGGTGGTAGTCCATTGCTGCTTCTAAAAGCCCTGAGAGGTGTTGCATCCGTTGTACCTAAAACAAAAATGTCAAACAATCAAACTATTTATTTATGTCTGCAAAAATTTTAAAAAATGTAAACTAATAAGGAAAAACAAATAATAAAATCATATATATGAATATACACACTAACTTACATCTCTCTCTAGGAGATTAAACATGCTTCTCTCAGCCAGGTCTTTGGATTCTTCAAACTTTTCGAATGCTTTCTTAATTTCAGAGTCTGCAATCTTGCCTTTACGCCTTTTCTTGTAATCAAAATCTAGACGGCGACCTTCAAGTTTTCTCAGATGATACTGATAACCAGAAAAATTCACTTCATTCACAACAAAATACATGTTATTTTTACTTTAAATGCTCAGAATACATACAAAATCCTACAATCACAACATTAAATGCATCTACAAAATGACAGATAATCTGATTTTATCATCAAAATTACACTGCGGTTCAAAAGTTTGGGATCAGTAAGATTTTTTAATGTTTTCTTTTTTTAAATAAGTTTCTTATGCTCATCAAGGCTGTATCTATTTGATCAAAAATACAAAAAAAAAACTGTAATTGTGTGAAATATTATTGCAATTTAAAATAACAGATTTCTATTTTAATATACTTTCAAATATAATTTATTCCTGTGAAGCAAAGCTGAATTTTCAGCATCATCACTCCAGTCTTCAGTGTCACATGATTTTTCAGAAATCATTCTAATATGCTGATTTATTATCAATGTTGGAATGTTGTGCTGCTTAATATCACAAGACCCGCGATACCTTTTTCAGGTTTCATTGATAAATACAAAGTTAAAAAGAACAGTGTTTATTCAAAATAGAAATTTTGTGTTACAATATACACTACTATTCAAAGTTTGGGGACAGTACATTTTTTCTTTCTTTCTTTTTAAAGAAATTAATGCTTTTATTCAGCAATGATTTGTTACATGGATAAAAAGTGATAGTAAAGACTTATATTGTTAGAAACAAATTCTATATTGAACAAATGCTGTTATTTTTTAACTTATTATTCATCAAATAAAAAAGTATCACAGGTTCCAAAAACAATATTAAGCAGCACAATAGTTTCAACATTGATAATAAATCAGCATATTCGAATGATTTCTAAAGGATCATGTCACACTGAAGACTGGAGTAATGATGCTGAAAATTCAGCACTGCATCACAGAAATAAATTATATTTTAAAGTATATTAAAACAGGAAACCAATATTAGAAATTGCAATAATATTTCACAATATTACTGTTTTTTTCTGTATTTTCTATCAAATGAATACAGCCTTGATGAACATAAGAGACTCCATTAAAAAACATGAAAAATCTTACTGATTACAAACTTTTGAAGGGCAGTGTATATCAAGCCCATTTACAACATACAGACTGACCGCAATTTCCTTCAGCTCTTTGTGCTGCAGGGACTGCAGAGGATCAATGAAGGTTCGTTTCACTCGGACATCCATGCAGTCTTTTGCCTGGGCTACTTGTTTCAGCGCCTCTCCCATTTCAAGCAGAGCAAAACCTACAATTGTAGTAAAACTCAAAACTGGTATTTTGACATTTTTAAAGCAGTAAAAAAATACCCATTGTGTTTCATTTGTCTTAAACATACCAAAACCAGACTCAGCTCCAAGCTCATTGCCATAGCACAGCATGCAATCTCCCAGAATGCCCTCTGTCTGAGGATATCCCACAGACTTCACCTGCCCACGGATTTTGGACACTGTACTGAGCATGCTGAGCTTTGCTCTGTATGCTTGAAGAACAAAAAAAGAAAAAGAGAATCAATGAAATATAACAACAACAAATTAAATATTGTAAGAAATATTATAATATAGCTTTGATAATACACAATTATAATAAATAGCATATATTGTAAATCTTGTAATAAATAAATATTATTAAATATAATACCTGGGTTTGGCTGAAGATATCCTATAGTTTTTGGAACAAGGTCGAGAATCAGTTTGTGGGTAATATCAGTTTTCTACAATAAAACAATCAATAAAAAAGAAAAACAAAAAAGACTTTTTTGATGCATTGAGATCTTTAAAATGTCTAATCTTTTTTCTTTATTTGGCTGAGATTGATATTTATACCCTCTCCATGTTGAGGAATTCCTCATCCAGTTTTGTTCCCTCAACTCCATTGATCTTTTCCTTTAGCAACTGTAAGGATAATCAAAGAGGGGAAAAAAATAATATCACTTATTGTTGAGTGGGCTTGACAAAAAAAAGTTTATGCAATAAGTTGATCTGATTCAATATACAGTTCAGATGAACATTTGACTATTTTGACAAACTATATTCTTCGCAAGATATACAATATTAAGGGCAATACAGAAAGTGATCATAATTACCTTAATAGTTTAATTGAAATCTTACACAATATGATAATGAGTGGTTAATCCGATCACAACTCAATCCAATGTCTACAACATTTCCAAACAAACCCCGGAAATCCACAAGCCTCGCCATTTTTAACACATTGTGATGATTGAGCATCTGTTTCCTGTGGTTCATAATCCAAACTGTTTATGAAGGTCAGTCGTTTGGCCAATGCGTCCAAAACACTAAAGTATTCAGACCGCCATGAATGAATCGAAAGAATGTGACCTTGGAAACTTTTTAATAAACATACTTTGGTGGCTTGGGGACCTAGAAACTTTCACTAATACAAAACCTCCAGGAGTCAATGATCAGGCTTTATTATAAATTCCAGGGGATTTTATTATCCACAATAAACTTGATATGAACAAAAACAATAGGCTAGCAGATAGTAAGTGGACTTTGGTTCCAAGATACAGACAACACCCATGTTCATGTGTCTCACACTAGTTTTCATTTTAGCACATCCAGCCTTCAAACCTCTGCAGTAACTCAACACTTATTCAGAAATACAAGGTGAGAAGGACATGTCTGATTACATACATTTGGGTGCTGAGAAGCACAGTTCTAGTGTGGAACTACAGCACTTAAACCTTTACTTTTTAAACAGGAACAAAACATTTACACAATCTAATGCCCTGTAATTTTTAGCTTGGCAATTCATCATTAACTGGGCCACCATATCAGTTCAGACACGGTTGGCTGCAGTTGCTCTAGATCTGGCGAACAGAGAAATATTGCAATGAAGTGAGGAAAAGTCTGATTAATGCCCGAGAATCGGTTCCTTTGAACACATCGTTTCAAAGAATCGGTTCAAAGAAACCGTTTCTGCGATTCTTTACGTCGTGAGGTAATTGCGTCATGGCACATATCGCTAACACTTGAACGATATAATTTTAAGGGTGTTGCAATTTAAAATTTGTCCCAGTTTGTTGCTGCCATGCAGTTTAGTTCATTTACA